ACACCTTCTACATAATCCAGAAGGGAGGGGCATTCTGAATGGATCATTCCTAGAAAAAAACATCATTTCTAGAAATGCCCTGTCTACAATCCCTTTTAAGGTGACCTTGTTTGCCATAATTATAACATTTGACATTTCGATTTTTCCTCAAACCTCTGGAAATCATCACTCCGATCCATGCATTATCATGTTCATGAGATTCAATATTAAGTGTATCTTGGATCCGTTCCTCCAAAGGTGCTGGCCTTGCCTTTAATGACCTAATTATCCTTTTGCATAAAGAATTGACATTCTAAAAAGCCAGAGATTCAGTTATTATTTGTCTAGCTTCTGAATTTGGTATCATTCTATTTATACTAAAGTCAATCTCTGTAAGAAATCTGTAAAGGTTTCCTTTTGGCCCTGTATAACTTTAGTAAATGACTCAGTTTTCTTTTCTATTTCTCCAATTATGTCTCAAGCATAAATTATGTCTCAAAGCTGCTGCATGTCATAAATCCAGGATGTGGTCACCATCTGCAGCCTGCCTTTCATTTTTATAATGTATTTATTTTGTTTTATGTATATTGGTATTTTGCCTGCATGCATCTCTCTGTGTGTGGGTGTCAGATCTTGGACTTACAGTTGCTAGCTGCCATGTGGGTATGGGGAGTTGAACCTAGTGTCTCTGGAAGAGCAGTCAGTGCTCTTATCACTGAACCATCTCTCTAGTCCCCACACAGCCTGCCTTTCTATAGTAGCTTAGTCTCCTTCTCCAAGAATTTGATCTTGGGAGATTTCTCTACCTCTAGCTTTACTCTGTTTTCAATAATCTTAGCCTCTTCTCTGAACCAGATACTCCATTGTAATTGTGGACCAGGCTCTAAAAGAGCTTTAACCAACTCTATCCAGTCATTACAAAATGATCATGAGTTTACCATTTGCTTCACAAAAGGTGAATGCATATCATATGAGACTATTGCTTCCTTGAATCTCCTTAAATCTAACATTGGCACAGGAATTCAGTTAGCTGTAACAGAACCTCTGCTATTTGGCATTTCCTGTAAGGTTACTAGATATATTAAAGTTGGTTGTCTGAGCTGGGCGGTGGTGGCGCACGCCTTTAATCCCAGCACTCGGGAGGCAGAGGCAGGCGGATCTCTGTGAGTTCGAGGCCAGCCTGGTCTACAAGAGCTAGTTCCAGGACAGGAACCAAAAGCTACGGAGAAACCCTGTCTCAAAAAAAATCAAAAAAAAAAGTTGGTTGTCTGAAAACCTTAGGCTGTTCTTCTCTATTCTTATAATGCAACATTGAAATTGGTTCTCCATTAAATTCTTATGTCTGATTTGAATATCTCTGTGATCTGTTTTATCAGGTTTTTCTAAGGCCTGTATCTTATCACTCAGATTAACCAAGGTTTTTAGTGATAAGACAAAAATGATAATGCTGCGATTGACATTACATAAATCCCATTTAAATTAGATATCCTCTCATTAAATTGTTCTATTTTCAAATTATCTAGCATTTTATTATACAGAGACCCAAATCCCTCCATTATAATGGTTTCTCCCATTTTTTAATGTGGGAAAAAATCTCTCTTTTAACTAATTCCTCCCTTTAAGAATTCCCAATTGTCTTTTTTTAAAAAAGATTTTATTAAGTATACAGTGTTCTGCCAGAAGAGGGCACCAGATCCCATTATAGATGGTTGTGAATCACCATGTGGTGGCTGGGAATTGAACTCAGGACCTCTGGAAGAGCAGCCAGTGTTCTTAACCTCTGAGCCATCTCTCCAGCCCCCAATATGCTGATGATGTTGATGAAGATGTGAGGTTTATTGCTGTTGCGTAGATCAGTGAGAGACTGCCTAGATTTCAAGGCAGTTACCTAGTTTGGAAGCAGCTGGAGAAGGGGTTCAGCAAGAGCCCACAACCATGGTGGACAGAAAGAGAGAGGGGGAGGTGGGGAGGAAGCCAATTCTGAAAGATGCATAGGGGATTGTTGGGGGGAACCATTTGGAGCCCAGGTGCTTCTGAGTTTAGGTGGCAGCTGGAGACTGTTTCAGAGAGGTTACAACAGGAAAATCCCCAACTTTTTCCCAAGGCTTGGAGGAGAAAAGAAAAGAAAACCTGGCTGGGTGTGGGTTGGAGCCCCATGTGCAGCTCTAGCCTGTGCGGGTGGCTAGAAAGCTTCAGACAAAAGAGTTTTTAGTGAATTATACCCCAAGCATTGGACGCCAAATATAGCATGATTAATAAAAGTCCAGAGACAAATATTGGGGTTCAACCTGAAGAGCACGAAAGCAAAGCAGCCAAGTCACTAGTGAGCTCTTACCTCTAAGATCCTCAGACTGAAAAAAGGAGAGTGAGTTTTTGACTCATCCTGGCTTATATTTCTCTCTAGTACTGAGATTAAAGGGGTGAGCCATCACCACCTGGATCTGTTTCTGCATTGATCTTGTGTAGCCCAGGGTGGCCTTGAACTCACAGAGATTCATCTGCCTCTGTCTCTCAAATACTGGGATTAGGGGTGTGTGGTACTGCTGCCTGGCCTCTAATGGCTTAGCTTCATCTCGCCACCACCATCCAGCTCCGTGTTTTAACGCCCCATAGCTGCACGGTTTGGGCATGCTAATCTCTCTGGACCTCCTTGCCTGTGTAATTAAATAGCTGTTTTATGCATAACAGCATAGACGTTAAGTTTGATGATTTAAGGCAGATGCATAGAATGGGGTTAGTTTTCTCTTCTGGTCATCAGGCAAATTTTATCTATAAAACATAAATAATATATCACTATAAAGACTCTTCCTCAAAGAGGGAAAGAGCTCTAGTGAACAAGATTGAAAGAGAAGCTGGGAAGCAGGAGAATGGACAGAAGAGAAAAGAAGTTAAAAAAATTTCAAGTGCACATTTCAAAGCCAGGCTTGGTAGCCTGATGTGGTAGCACAGCCCTGTAATACCGGCACTTGGGAGGCAGAGGCCATATTCTCAAGTTTGCTACATACTTGTCAAGTACGTAGCAAGTTTGAAACCATCCTGGGCTACAGCAGCCGAGCATGGTGCTGCGCAGCTTTGATACCAGCTCTCAGAAGGCAGAAGTAGGCAGATCTTTGTGACGTCTAGGTCACCACGTGGCTATAGAGTGAGATACTGTCTCCAAAAAAAAAATGTTCTAGAGTTACTTTCTGGATTTGTATCCATTTTGTTGGTTTTATTTTTTTTTTGAGACAGGTTTGCATGTGTGTGTGTGTGTGTGTGTGTGTGTGTGTAGCCCTGGCTGTCCTGAAACTTACCCTGTAGACTAGGCTGGCTTCAGACTCACAGAGATCTGCCTACCTCTGTCTGCTGAATGCTCGGATTAAGGAATAGCCACCACCACCCAGCCATATTTTAACACTCCATAGCCGCACAGTTCGAGCATGCTAATCTCTCTGGACCTCCTTGCCTGTATGATGAAATGGGAAATACCTGGAAAGCTCATCACAGTATATAAAGTGCTCTGACACATAGAAAGGCTATAATAAATTTGATGATTTAAGGCAGAGGCATAGAACGGGGCTGGAGAGGTGGCTCAGCAATTAAGAGCATCTATTGCTCTTTCAAAGGAACTGAGTTCAACTCCTATCACCCACATCATAGGGCAACTCATAATTAACTGTTAACTCGAGCCCCAGGGGGCTCTGAGGGTACCTGCACTCACACATGGACACATCTATATGTGCACACATACACACGATTGAAAATAAAAGAAAAAAATTTTAAAGCAGATGCATAGCAACTTTTCTTTTAGAGACAAAGTCTTGCTATACCATATCCCAAACTGTCCTGGAACTCACAATTCTTCTGCCTTAGCCCCTCAAATACTGGGATTCCAAGTGTGCATCATACCTAGTAGTAGTAACTTTTTAAGAAAGATTTTTTAATTTTATGCATATGGGTGTTTTGTCTATGTGTGCACCACATGCATGTGGTACCCACAGAGGCCGGAAGACGGCACAAGATCCTCTGGAACTTCCCTTACAGACAGTTGTCAGTCACCATGTGGGTACTGGGTACTGGGAACAGACCTGTGATCTTCAACACCGGGCCATCTTTCCAGCCCCCATAATAACTTTTAATCTCCATTACTATTCTATGAACCTTGGACAGCAAGAGTTATGTGTCACTAAGGAGGAGATGTTAAAACCCCTGAGCTACCATCAGTGGACACTAGAATTGGAACATCAATAACAAAGTTCTCCTTGAACTCAGGAAATGAGAATCCCAGATTTTGCTGAGTTTTGAACCAGCCTATGCGATACTGGAGTGGGACTCGGCATCTTGAGCCCTTTTTTCTGTGGTGAGCTTTCTTTCTTCTTCAGTCTCTGTAAGATGGTGGTTTTCAGCCTGTGGGTCAAGGCCCCTTTGGTGGCTGCGCATCCGATATCCTATGCATCAGGTATGTACATCATGATTCATAACAGTAGCAAAATTACAGTGGTGAAGAAGCAACAAGATCATTTTATGGTTGGGGTCAGCACAACAGGAGGAACTGGATTAAAGGGTCACAGCATTAGGAAGGCTGAGAGCCACTGGTCTAGGGCAATTGCCTTCAACAGGAAGTGATTTTATCCAGAGGACATTCAGCAACATCTAGAGACATTTCTGGCTGTGACAACTGGAGCGAGCATGCTACTCTCTTCCAGAACCAGGGAAGCCAGGGATGTTGATGAATATCACACACTACGGAGGATAGCTCCTTACAAAAAAATCCATTCTCCTGCCTACAGCATCAGCATTCTGAGGGGTGGCAGCCCTAATCCAGGGCTAAGGAGCTCTTCCTCGGCGTGGCAGGTTGTGAGTGAGTTTGGGAGGAGTGGGACAAGGTGCTAGGGCACAGAGGAGACAATCACTCGAACCCACAGAAAGTTCCAAACCAGCATTTCCCTGATCATCAGCTGCCAAAATCAAAGAACAACAAAAACAATCAACTTCATTATATGTTATATTTCATTAATAAATAGGTTCTCCTCTTTAAACACAGAACAGACAACAGATTGAAACAACCCCCCCCCCCCAAATTCCAAAGACAAGAGTCTAGAAAACAAACGCCAACTGTACCGCCCTGAGGGCAGGAAAGTCTGGTGACCACCATCAGTCCTGCCCCTGCAGCACCACCACCCCCACATTCTGCAAGAGAAGGGGGTCTGGGGCTTCTCCCCTGGGCCCTGGGGACTTCAGTGAGAAGCGTGTGAATGTATGATGTCACCTCTCTGTGACGCATGGGCTATGCAAAGATGAGGTTTCCTTCCCAGCTCTGGTCAGCCCTTGCCCTCCTGGTTTCAGTTATGAAGCATCTGGGCTAAGCTTTCCCATTGTCCAGTCCATTGCCACTTCTCAGAGGGGACAGGGAGAGCTCAAGGGCCCTTCCCATCCCCCGCCTGCATGGGAATGCTGTGTGGAAGAGCATGGTGCTGAAGGTGAGGCCAGCATGTCCCCAGTCCCCCAATACCCTTCCTTCCTCTGGAGTAGGAGACACTGGGGCAACTGCTCCCTCCACAGCCTACTGCCTGGCTTGGGGTGTGATGGTTCTCGCTTAATGTCAGGCCCTCCTGGCAGGCCTGGCTTCTTCAATTCCATTCCTGTCTCCTGAGCCCTCACTGTGGCCATCTGAAAAAGTCACATCCAGGGTCTTAAACTGTCTCATCCTCCCTCTCCCCGTGCCTCTGCACCCCAAGGGAGGAAGTGGGGGGCTGTCTCCCCCGCCTCTGGCTCCAACTTCACATGATGGAACAGCTTTTGGCCTTTTCCTTCTTGAAGGTGGAAGAGATGAGTTCAGAGCGACTGGGGAGGTGGAGAAGTCGCTTGGAGAGGCTGCGGACAGGGCTCTTCGGGGGCACTGAGTTAGGCTTGTTCAAACACACCATGGATGCCATCCGGAAGATGCTGTGGATACTCTTCTCTGAGGTAAAAGCTGAGCCCTCCAGGTAGATTTCTGCGCCCAACTGCTTGGCTATGGCACAGCCCTGTGGGAAGGGTGCAGTGTGGTTATTAATGCAATGGTCTAAAACGCATAGGAAACACCATGGCATTCAGTGTGTCACTCGGCAGGGCTATTCCAGATGACAGCCCACTGCCAGTCTCTGCCAGTTCTTCATAAAGGTGGCTGCAGGCCAGAATCTCCTATGACATTTTAAAACCAGGTACAGCTTGATGTCTGGGGATGGCACAGGCATTAGGTCTTAGACTTTGGTACTAGTGATGGGATCCAGGACTTCATACATGCTAACCATGCGCTTAGCCACACTCCCAGTCTCAACATTATCATTTAAAAAAAAAAAACCCTTTTCCATATGCTTATCCATATGAGTGTGTGTGTCGTATGTATGCTCCTCCCACAGCTCGCATGTGGGGGTCAGACGACAATTTGTGGAAATCATGTCCCTCCCCCCACCACGTGGGCCCTCAAGCTTTCGTGGCAAAGCACCCTGCCCTCTGAGCTGTCTCACCAGCCTGCTGATGTCAGTACTTTAAAGAGTTCTCCCAGCTGACTCTCATGGGAAATCTTAACAGACATTCTGTGCGCATTAAAATTTATCCTTGCAGCTAGTGAGGTGGCTCGGCAAAGAAAAGCACTGGCCATCAAGATCAATAACCTGAGTTCAGTCCCAAAAACCCACGTGGTGGAAGGGGAGAGCTGACTCCCGAAACCTGCTTCTGACCTCCACACATGGGCATGACATGTGCCACACACACACAAAATTAAATAATTTAAAAATTATCCTTGGGTTTGTTATAAAAATGCAGATTCCATATCTTCCTCCCAGGGCTATTTTATAAGCATGGAGCTTGGAATTCAAAATCCCAACAATTACTTCTCTTCGTTTGCTAGTTTTGGTTTTTTGAGACTATGCCTTATTATTTAGTCAAGCTGGCCTCAAACTTGGAATCCTTCTGCCTCTACCTCCTGAGTTCTGGGATTACAGACTACATCCAGTGCTAACAAGCATCTTTAATGAGTCTGATGCATATGGTTTACCAAAAAAAAAAAAAGCCTTAAAATTGCTGGCATACACACAGGAGAAGTTCACAAGCAATCCTATAGCAGGGAGCTAAGTTAGCAAGAACTTCTACCCCAACCCACGTGACAGTTTGCCATTTATAGATACAGATAGCCCCCAGTACCAATTCTATCTTATACGGAAAGAGTTTAGTCAAGAGCCATGTGTAGGCCCTCCGCCACAGCCTTCTCTACCCCATCCCAGCACACACATACATGCACACGCACACACACACACCTGCTCGTAGGAGATGGGCGCCTGCTTCTGGTGGGAAAGCTCCATCAGAGTGCTCAGGTCTGTTCGCAGATCTGTCTTGCAGCCAATAAGCAAAACCCGGGTGCTGGGACAATAGTCTAGGATTTCTGTTCTCCACTGAGGGTTGGAGCAAGAAGGGAAGGGGAAGGGAGAGAAAGTCAGTGGCAGATACCAGGAGGAGTCCGGCTGGCAGCATCAAGCACATCACTCAGTATCGAAGCTCAGTCTTCCGTCTGAGTCACAGTATGCCTGCTGCACTAATTACATCATCTTCCTGCACATGAGGCCTTCGGTGGTACCAGTGTGCTAACCCAGGAGCTTGTCCCTTCAGCCAACAGCACAGCCATCACAGGGAACACAGGGCAAGTCTCCCACTCCTTGCCACACAGGGAAGACATGGGTTTAGTTTCTTTCTAAGGGCTTGTTTACCCTTAGGAGAAATGCTAGTGTGGGGAGCAAGGCAATCTCTTCCCTGAGAAGCTAAGCAAGTCCCTGGGCACTTCCTGCAGCATCTCAGGGCAGACAGAGCTTCTACTCAGACCCAGGTACTTCCACCAGCTGTGGAGCCCTGACCTGCCTGACTCAGTGGGCCTGGGACCATAGTCCACAGAAGCTGCTGCCAAAAGGACCCATTCCTCACACCACCAGAAGATTCTCTGAGCCTTCAGCACCTCTCTCCCTCTAGCTGGGCCTCTGGGAAAGTAGTACAGGGTAAGGAAAAAGCAGAAGGCTAAGAGGCAGGAAACCCAGATTCAACCCAGAGCCCCAGCAATGGTGAGGCTTCAAGAAAAAACACTGCTCTCCTGGCTTACAGACAGGAGGGTTGGAGGCCAAGGCTCCTTCTTGTTCTTCTGGGGAGAAACTATAGACTTTATTTTCATACCCTGGGTCCTGCTCGTGCTAGGGAAGCACTCTCTGCCAACTGAGACCCATCCTCAGCCAGATTTGATTTTGATTTGGAGACAGGGTCTCACTGAACTGCCTGGTCTTGAACTGGCTCTGTAGCCCAAGCTGAACTCAAGCTTAAGATTCTCCTGCTCCAGCAACCCTAGTAGCTAGGATGACTAGCGTGCACCCCCACCTCAAGCGCAGCCTCACCTTTTTGAGTGCACTGTCCATAGTCTCTGGGCGGCTGATGTCAAAGCACAGTAACACCGCATCCGAGTCGCTGTAGCAGAGTGGACGGACGTTGTCATAGTAAGGAGACCCTGGCGTAAGGGAGAAGAGTTGAGAGTGAGTCTCTCCAGGCTTAAGGCCAAGGGTCCCTGGGGAAGGTAATTCTTCCTTAACACCAAGCAAGTCCCACAGTACTACTGCATGGAAGCCTGGGACATGACCACCTGCCAGAAGGCTATTCAGGAATACCATTTCCCTTGATCTTAAAAGAGCGCAATGCAGATGGGGTAGAGTGTACTCAAACCCTGTCTGGGTTTCCCAGAGTGAGCTTAATTTAAGATCTCCTCATATTCAGAGTCCCAGAAGAGGCAGTCGGTGCCTATGGAGAGACAAGGGCTTGGTTCAGGTGCCCTTCCCATCATCTGAGCCTGCCTGCTGTTCAGTCTCTGCTCAGCTCTTCTGCTGTAGGGTCTCCCAGTGAAGAACTAACGCTGCCTGTTACATAACTGGCTGCCCTGATTCCTGAGCTTGGGGTCAGACCTTCAGGGGATTGATGGGGGCGGGAAAGCACCCAGGATTGGAGGTTTACTCCTTTTCCCACCCAAGTCAGCTTACACTGAAAAGGGCAGAGGGGATACTGTGGCCCCCACCCCTCAGATCTCAAAGACAGGAACACCCCATAGCTGTGAAGTTAGAGGGGGAGGGGAAGAAGGCCACTCAGACCAAGGGTCTGATGGGATGAAGACTAGGAGCTGAGCCTGGCCCCCTCCACCCTGAGGATCAGGAGCTGAGCCGGCCCCCTCCACCCTGAGGACCAGGAACTGAGCCTGGCCCCCTCCACCCTGAGGACTAGAATCTGAGCCTGGCCCCCTCCACCCTGAGGAAGGAACAGTAGCAGGTTTGGGATCCAGACAATCCGTGCTTAGAATAGCAAGCAGCCCCTCTCCCTGTACTGCAATCACCATGGAAACTGGGGGGAATCCAAGCTGAGGTGGGGGTGTCGGTCATAAAAAAAAAAGAAGAAGAAGTAAGGGGGAGTTGGGATAGCTGCCTGCTCCTTCAGCAATCCACCCCCATCTCTTTCTGAGGTAAGGTGGGGGTTGGACCACAGGCACTGAGGCTGCGGTACTGGGGGAAGGGGAGGGGAGTTGGTCTCCATTTTGGCTCTAAGCAATCCCCCTCCCCTAAAACCAGCAACTGAATAACAGAAACAGGTTTAACCCTGGCCCATCCCACACATCACTGTCATTTCCTCTGTCCTTATGGGAACCTAATCCGAAAGAAGGATAACTGGCTGTCTGTATCCTTTTGAAAGGAGAGGCTAGGGTGTGACCTGGGGTAGAAAGACCACACTTGCTGATATTCCACCATCTGGGCTCAGGATTCAAGGGCTGTGAGAAGCAGGGAGGGTACTAACGAAAAGAAAAGAGATGAGCTGCAGCAAGGTCCAGGGAGACTGGAGGTGGGAGGGTACAGCAGGAAAAAACCCATACATCACGCAGCCACGCTGCATTCTGGTCCAATCCAGCCAGCATAGCACAATCCGGGATAAACAGAACCCTCTCTTGGAACTGCAACGGAGGACCACGTACCAGCCTGAGGAATTTGGGTTGTGGAGAAAGCTAAAAAAGTGTCTTCATTTTCTGTTTACCCATCCCTTATCGCCAGAACTCAAAATTGGAGAACAGGAACAAGATTCCTTCAGAGAAGTAGGGTGGTCCATTTTACACACGTAGGAAAAGCCTTAGTGATTCACGGTTCCTCTTTAAACTCAGCTTGAGCACGTTAAAAAGAAATCTTTTCTGGTAAAGCATGGATTTTCTTTTCTCTCTCATATTGCTGGCTCTTACTCCTTAATTATGTCTGAGACAGACTGTTAAAAAGAGGGACTGGGGTAGAGAAAGTGGGAAGGGCTCAGAAGCAAAGCAAATGTTAGCGGAGCTCTAAGGGCTTGGGACAGAGTGGGCAAAGCATTGCTTTCTCATTTTTTTGAAAGGCCGGCACCTCCAACCTCATCCTGTACAGGGAGAAATGATAGCAGCTTAAACCCACGCACTCTGTGGGACACTAACCCCAGTGTGGCCAGGCCTTACATCTACCATATTCCCCACCCTCCCAAACAGCGATGATGCATCGCTTCACCACTGAGCCGCAGCATCTGATGAGAAGGACTGAGGTGCGGCAAGCAGACAGCAGCCGGCCTGAGAGGAAACGCAGGAGAGCAAGATTCCCTCCAAAGCCGTAGGCTCTCTGCCCCACCACAGAGGCCTCTATCAGCACCGGAGCCTAACACTCCTTTAACTTTGCTCCAGAGAACTGAAGGCAGAGAGAGAGAGAGACAGAGAGAGAGAGAGAGAGAGACAGAAAGAGAGAGAGAGAGAGAGAGAGAGAGAGAGAGGAGGGAGAGAGGGGGGGAGGAAGGAAGGGAGGGAGGGAGGGAGAAGGGATGGAGAGAGAGAGAGAGAGAGAGAGAGAGAGAGAGAGAGAATGGGGAAGACCTGTTTGGTGCTCTGGGAAGTACTCAGGGGGTCCCTTCCCCAGCCCTCTGAATAATGGAACTAGACCAGAGGCCTGAATGGCTCCTGAGGTTTGTTCATCATTTAAGAGAGTCGATGCCCCCAGCCAAAGAATCTTTACGTTCCTTCTTCCATCACCTCTGTCCTCAAAGGCGAATTTTCTCCCCTAAAAAAGCAGCAGCCGCAGCTAGCCAGCGGTCTTACCTGAAGTATCCCAGAGGCTGAGCTCCACTCGCTGTTCATCGGTCTCCAAACAGGCTGTGTAATTCTCAAACACGGTAGGCACATAGGTCTGCGAGGAGAGAGGAAACATTCACATCTGGACTCGCGTGCCCTCAGGACCCCGCACCTCAGGCTCGCACGCCTTCAGAACCCATACCTAGCATTGACTACACAAGCAGCCACTCACACACAGGCGCTGGAACACCGAAGTGTCAGGTGATGAGGGGCCAGAGGAAAGGAATATGTGGGGCAGGAGGAACTGTGTTAGACAGGAGAAAAGGACCGGAGAGGCACTGGCCTTTGCTCTCCAGCCTGGGACAAGCCCCCTACATCCTGACTCGGCAGACACACACATTCACATTTTCTTCTCATCCCTAGATTTGTGCCCCATTTTCAGAGCCACAAGGCAATTCTAACCTCTCTCTTCTGCCCTCTAGTCCCCTGGCACAGGTGATGAGCAGAAAGCAGCAGCCTGATGCCTAGAGCTACCCTCACAGAGCCTTCCAGGAGGGCCGGGCAGGTACTGCGTCAAGAATAAAGCCCAGGCCCTCCAGAGCCTCCCGGTCCCAGGAATGAAGCAAAGTGGGAGGGGATATGATGGCTAAAGAGGTGAGGAGGAGCCGACCGGGCGGCAGAAATGGGTCAGGTCTCAGGGGAAGCAAGGCAGGGCAGTCCTTCAGCCAGAAGGCAGGCAGGGTGGGTCGGCCTGGGGGTGGGGGAGACGGTTCTCCTGGGCAGGTGGAAATCGACCCCGCGCCGGCGGCTAGCTCACCTCGGGATAGCAGTCCTTCGCTAGCACCTGTAACATCGCCGTCTTCCCACACTGCACGTCCCCCACCAGCACGAGCTTACATCTGACCACCACCGGCTGCGGCGCCCGTCTCTCCTTCATGGCTGCAGCCTCCAAGGGACTGGGACTCGGGTTCAGCGAGGAGGAGGTCGCTCCTGAAGTTTCCACGCGGAGACAGGAGGCCGGTTCTCTGCGTGCCTCCAACTGAGGCGGAGGCCGAACGGGCCCCGTTATATGCCCCAGGCTCAGCCAATCACAAGAGGAGGCGGGATCTGCCCAGGCCAATTCCTAAGGTGGGATCCCCAGCGGCAGCCAATAGTAAGAGAGTCTGAGTCAGCGCCCTCTTCCTCCCTTCTCTTTCTGTTAAAGCAGCACAGTTGCTTCATTCGGGAAGGGAATTCCCACGCTTTTTGTTTTGCTGTTAGGAGGTCGGGAAGGGGCTGGAAGTAAAACCAAGTGATCTTCGAATGTCCATGAATTAGTGTCTAAAGCCATAAAGAGCCAAGGAACCAGAAAGTGAGGGTTGTAGGGTCTATTCCAGGAAGACAGCAGGGCCTGCCTAAACTAAGGACAGGTGGCATCTCTTCGGGAGAGGGTGGCCCCATCGACCTGTGACTCCTTAATTTTATATAGTTCCTACCCACACTGGTTCCACTTCTGTTATTTCCTTCTAATAGAAGCTCCTGCTGTCTGTCTTTTACAGCTCAATTCCCTCAGCAATCCCCTTCACCAAAGCAAACCAAAGAAACAAAATAACAGCTTCTGACCCAGAGACAGGCAAAGGAAACAAATGAAGGAATCCTGCAAGCAGGAATAGGAGAGAGACCAAACGAGCGGCTCTCCGCCTTCTGTTGGCCACGGCGCTTCTAGCTGCAATCCTAGTATGAGACGCGGTGTCAAGGTGCTTTGTTCTGTGGGTGGCTTCAGCTTCCTGGATGAATCAGGCGCAGGGCTAGTTCCAGGCTGATCCCAGCTGGCTCTGACGCACTAATGTGTGTCACCTGGTGAAAGTCCAGCTTGGAAGTCAAGGCCTGGGCATTAGGGATAAGAAACTGGAGGACAATCTAAGATGCGGCTAAGCTATGAAATTGCAGACTGGCTCTAGCCTTCAGAACTTCCATGGCTTCTGGGGACCCCTCTACTAAACAAAACTATGGAGATATACAGCTCATAGAAATCACTGGCTGCCTGGCAACCAAAGAGGTCCAATTAGGCCTCCAGGGAATTGGAGACCAATTCTGGGCAAACTTGAGAGCAGCCTAGGGTCTGCCCCCACCCCTTCTTGTTTCCTTGGCATGCTTTATTTTTGAGACAGGGTCTCACACTGGAACTCACTGTATATAACCCAGGATGCAAACCCTTCTGTCTCCGGCCTTAGGCCCGGAATTACAGAGAGGACATCAGCCGTAGCTCAGGGTTGTCTTGAAGTTCCTTCACTATGATAGGTCCAGCACTTCTGTAATAAACCTGACACACACACCCCCCCATATCTTTGTTTTAAGTCACAGTTGTTGCTGGCCACCCTTTTTTCCTAAAATAAGGGGCATTTCAAAGGCTTCTCAGGCTCACTGTAACAGAGAATGAAAGTTGTCTGTTAGCATGACTGATAACCCTCTAGTCTACTCTATGGTTGCCAGGCTTCTCGGTAGGCTGAGGGGGCGGGGCAGCTCTGTCCTCTGCCCACCTCCTGCCCATCACTTCCAGGAAGGGGGTCACTGAGGGCAGAAGGGTTTACCTTTAGGGGCTCTATTCTTCTCCCAGACTCTCTGGAAGTTTCTTCACCTTATCTTCCCCCACACCTCATCCTCAGTCTTCAAATTATTTTCCACCTATGGAACTTGTCGTCTTTTTGCCCTTTTCCCGCATCCTGCCAGCCTCCCTGAGCTGCCCATAAGTGTGGCTTGGAAGAGTTCCAGGACAGCTGGGGGATTGTGGTCTGTCTCAACCCGGAGTCCTTCCCCACGGCTTGACGGTGCTCACTACCTGATTTCCCACACTTTGGCTCATCGAGACATAAGTCTGGAAGAGTCAGTAAGATTTCTGTGTCTTCTCCGTTTTAATGATTTATTTTATGTACCTTGGAGTTTTGTCTGCATGTGTGTCTAGCTGAGAGTGTCAGATCCTCTGGAAAAGGAGTTACAGACAGTCATAAGCGGCCATATGGGTGCTGGGAATTGAACCCAGGCCCTCTGGAAGAACAGCCAGGGCTCTCCACCACTGAGCCATCCACCTTCTCCACTCCCCTACCTCCCGCCACTCCCGCCATGTGTTCTAGTAACCCTTAGCCAGGTTTCCTCTAACTACAGCCAGAAAGGTTTTGGTCTTCTCTCCATGTTCTCTCCGCTTCTACACACACGCACACACACATACATGCACACACACACGCACACACACATACATGCACACACACACGCACACACACATACATGCACGCACGCACACACACATACATGCACACACACGCACACACACATACATGCACATGCCACACACGCACACACGCATGCATGCACGCCTGCACATGCATACACACAAACATATGCACACAAGCACACACACTCACTCATGCATGCACACACCCTGCAAGAGCCACTCCACATAAACATTCAATACAAGTAACCCTGCTTGTGCTACGCAGGTAGCTACCTCCAGCTTTAACAAGATAGCCATTCCTGAGCTCCTCTGGCACTGACATTCTGAGAGCAGGTGCCAACACTGATTCTTCCTACATGACTGCTTCTCAGGGTCAGCAGCAGATCTGCAATAGGGCAAACTTCCTCTGTGGCTGTCCAAGGCGTGTCTCCAAAGCCAGATGCGGTGGCACATGCCCTTAATCCTAGCACTTAGGAGACAGAAGTAGGAGGATCTCTGTGAGTTTGAGGCCAGCCTGGTCTACAGAGCAAGTTGTAGGAAAGCCAGGGATACACAGTGAGACCCTTTCTCAAACATTTATGAAGATACCCTGTAAGTCCCATGCTTATGAGTTGTGTTGGGAAAGTATTGTGTATATGAGCTCAGCAGGCATGTGCTGGAGCTACCTGTGCTGGAATTTAATTAGAAAGGGGGTTCGGGGACCTTTGCTTTGCAGTTCGTCTTTGTTTGCATGTGGTTTGGTGTCAGACTTCCTCTCACTCTGTAACTGGCTGGGTTGGAACTGAGTGTGTAGACCAGCCAGAATGACTTGACTTGGTTTTGGTTTTGAGCCAGGGTCTCACTGTAGCCCAGGTTGACCTCAAATTCATGGCAATTCTGCCCCAGATCCCCGTCACTGAGATTACAGTTATTCTCCACTACGACCAGTTCTAGTTTACAAAAAAAAATATTATATTTTACTTAGTGAGTGTGCTTGGGGGAGGAGAAGGGCCCACTCAGACCATACATGGAGGTCACAGGACCACTTGCAGAAGTTAGTTTCTCCAGTCCTAGGGACACGTGATATGATGGCAGTCATATTTACTCCCTGAGCCATCTTACCGCTCGCTCATTAGCTCCTGTCTTTGTTTAAACCTCTTCCTAATGTCTTTATTTAAAACTCTGCAGCCAGAATAATACGTTTATAAGATGGGTGTTCTCTCTCAAGACTTGGAACATTTAAAACAAGGTAAAATTGAAAACATTGACTGAGCAGTGGTGGCACAAGCCTTTAATCCCAGCACTTAGGAGGCAGAGACAAGCAGATCTCTGTGAGTTTGAGGCCAGCCTGGTCTACAGAGCAAGTTCTGGAACAGCCAGGGGTTACACAGAGAAACCCTATCTCAGAAGGAAAGAAAAAAAAGAAAGAAAGAGAGAGAGAGAGAGAGAGAGAGGGAGAGAAAGAAAGAAAGAAAGAAATTAAGCATTAAGCCTGGGTGAAAAAAGACAGTTACAAAATACAATATATTGGGGCTGGAGAGATGGCTCAGAGGTTAAGAGCATTGCCTGCTTTTCCAAAGGTCCTGAGTTCAATTCCCAGCAACCACATGGTGGCTCACAACCATCTGTAGTGGGGTCTGGTGCCTCTTCTGGCCTGCAGGCACACACACACACACACAGAATATTATATACATAATAAATAAATAAATATTAAAAAAAGAAGAAAAGGAAAAGAAACCTACACAAGAAATTCAAAGCTTCAATAAAAACAGTATATTTAAAAAAATACAATATATTATGTAGAATATAATAGATAGTCGGAACTTTCTTTGGGCTGCCAACCAGATCCCGAATAACGACATGAAGACTTATTATTCATTATGAATGTTTAGGTTAGGCTTGGCCCACTAGCTCTTTTAACCTAATTTAACCAGTTTCGTTCATCTACGTTTTGCCTCGAGGCTTTTTGCCTTTCTTTCTTTCAGTCTGTATGTCCTGCTTTCCTGCTTCTTTGTGTCTGACTGGCTGGCCCCTGGGTGTCTCCCTGTCAACTCCTTTTTCTTTCTTCCTTCTCCTACTTACTAGCCCTGCCCAGAAGTCCTGGCTACACCTCCTCCCTCACTCTTAACTGTTCGGGTATTTTTTAGCCTAATCAGGTGCCTTAGGCAGGCAAGGTAAAACAGCAGCACAGCTTTAGATAATTAGACAAATGCAGCAAAAACAAATACAACACATCTTGAAATACTTAAACAAATGCAACACAGTTTTGTGTAGTTAAACAAATATTCTACGTCAATATTATGATATATTTACATGAAATCTTCAGAATAGGTAAATCCAATGAGATAGAGAGTTTGTGGGGCAGTAAGATGGCTCAGAGGGTAACACCTCTTGCCAGAGGCTGACAACTTGGGCGTGTACCACTGCAGCTGGCCACAGTTTTTATCTCATTTATAATTCCTATTATATTTTTTCATTTTCTCCTTGAAACTTTTATGTTCTTATTTCCCATTTTTTAGCATTCTTTCATAAGCTTTATAATTTTTTTTTGTTTTTTGTTTTTCGAGACAGGGTTTCTCTGTAGCTTTGGTGCCTGTCCCGGAACTAGCTATTGTAGACCAGGCTGGCCTCGAACTCCCAGAGATCCGCCTGCCTCTGCCTCCTGAGTGCTGGGATTAAAGGCGTGCGCCACCACTGCCCAGCTAAGCTTTATAATTTTAAAAAACTTACAAAAATTACACACCAAAATTCCCCGGACCTGGAGAGTTGGCTCAGCATTTGTTTTTGCAGAGGACCCAGGTTTGGTTCCCAGCACCCACACAGTGGCTCACAACCACCTGTAAT